ATTTTTGTATTTTTAGTAGAGACGGGGTTTCACCATGTTGACCAGGATGGTCTCGATCTCTTGACCTCGTGATCCACCCGCCTCGGCCTCCCAAAGTGCTGGGATTACAGGCTTGAGCCACCGGCCTTAGGTCCTCCGTTTTCATTGTTAACCACATCAGAATCCGTATTACCATTTTTCACTTTGGAAATCTATTGCAGTACAGCAGACTCACCATGTGGTGGCATCCAAAGGCCCAGAAACCAACATCTTTAGGCCCAGTATTAGACATGTGTTCAAAAACGTAGGCAGTCAACTTTCTAGAGGTAGCAACAGGAAATAAAGAGTCATAAGACAGTCATCTTAAAAGGGTGCTAGAAATGTTCTACATTTTGATCTAGGTGGTGATTACATAGCTTGTAATCCCAGTTATTCAGGTGGTTGAGGCATGAGAGTTGCATGAACACAGGAGGCAAAGCTTGCAGTGAGCCAAGATCCTGCCAGCCTGGGTGATAGAAGGAAACTCTGTCTCAAAAAAAAAAAAAAAAAAAAAAGGCCTACATCGTATAATTCCTACTCAGTCAGCAGTGAATGAAGATTACTATTTACTCACATCCTTTCTGCCTCTGGTATTTTGTTTTGAGGTTGTATGTTTTTGATAGTAGTGTAATTTCTCAAACTTTGCTTTATGACTCCTAGCCTGTATGTGTTGTGGGGTGTGTGTGTGGGTGGTCATGTTTAGAGATTATTTTTGTCTTGTTTAGTTTTGGTAGTAAATGGCTATTCCAGTTTAAGTGGCAAGTACAGTTTGTTTCACAATGATGAAATTAAAAGAGAATATTGCAAATAGCCCAGAAATCTGGTAATCCTGCAACAGGATTTTATTTGTATTGTACAATACTTTGCCTGCCAAGTATTAAGAGGGCTAAAAGTTAAATTCAGAAAACCATGTTTGGGAAACTGCACTAAATACTGTATGTAATAGGCAGACGTATTTCATTGAGAGTTTTTGCTCATTGTACAGAACTGGGTTATCTAATGCAGCATTAACTATTGTATCAGGTCCAGGGTACACAGTTAATCTGGTAGGTCCCAAACTATTGTTTCTTTCCCCATCTTCCTCCTCTTCCTTTTGAAATAACATTGACTTTTTCTTCCGTATCAAGTCAGTCTTATAGTCTCAGGAAAATCTTAGATGTAACATAGTTCAGGCTAAAAATGTTTGCCCAGTGTAAGCTGGTCCAAGGCATTAAACTCTGTCATTCCATCCAGCTAAAACAAACTAAAACTCCAACCTCGAGGATACCCAGATGTGACGTCTTTGGAGCTGTCCTATATTTAAAAAAACAATAAATTACAGAGTGAGGAAGGAATGTAGCAGTGTGGTAAATCAGGAATGACTTCTTGGCATAAACTGATGATGTGCTTACTTTTGAAACAAAGAGGTGTTTTATCTTACAAGTTCATCCCTTTTTGTAAGAGATATTTTGTAATAGTATGAGAACTAACAATAGTTTTCCATACTATTCCTGACTGTGAGGATAAGGATCACTTTACTTCATCATGTATATGTACCTAAATGAAGAATTTTTACCTTGAAATGATTATTCCTCCAATTTATGTGTGAATTTTCTTTTTTTGCATTAAGTCCTGCATAGAGATAGTCATTTAGTTTTTCAGTTTTCACAATTTTTAAAAGGTGGGACAATCTTTAAACTTTTTGGGCCAGATTTGGTTTTTTGTTGTTGTGGTTGTTGTTTGTTTTTCTGAAACACTCTCACTCTGTCACCCAGGCTGGAGTGCAGTGGCGTGATCTTGGCTTACTACAACCTCGGCCTTCTGGGTTCAAGGGATTCTCCTGCCTCTGCCTCCCGAGTAGCTGGGATTACAGGCATCCGCCACCATGCCTGGCTAATTTTTGTATTTTGGTAAAGACAGGGTTTCACTATGTTGGTCAGGCTGGTCTCAAATTCCTTACCTCAAATGATCCACCTGCTGCAGCCTCCCAAAGTGCTGGGATTACAGGCGTGAGCCATCCCACCTGGCCTTACACCTGGGTTTTTAAATAAGAAGCATTTAAAGAAAACAAGTAAGTCTTCACTCAAGACACATGAAGAGACATCCCTAATTAATGAAGCCTCATACCCTTATGATAAAGTATTCACAACCTATTCTTTACTAGGAAACTCCAAGGCACTCTTGGTTACAACTTGTGCTGCAACATCTCTCATTTGTGTATTACCTTTTGATTCTTTAATTATTGGCACTCACTCTTCCTGAAATAGGTGTGTGCCATTTAGCCTCCACCTGACTCCCTGATCCCTGATTTCTCCCTTCCTGTGACTTCAGCTCTCAGGTGAAATGGATAAACTCAGATGTGAAGTGGGAAATGACTACTGCTTTTGATGATAGAGATGTTAGATTTAAAGTGGCTGCTTGGGAAGCAAGCATTTGTGCTAGACAAGAAGGTTAAGGTTCTTCAAGGCCGTAACCATCTCAGCCTAGAAGTAACATTCTACAGGACACTTAGTTTGTTTCCGGATTGACTTCACAAGTCTTCTTTCTTATTATTTAAATCTCAACATTAATGGTCCATTGTTTTTTGTCTCTTTTATTATATACTGACACAGAACTAGTCAAAGCTTTGCAAATGTTTTCAGAGGATGTGAAACTACATGAAATTTTTCATTTAATTGCTGAGTTTGACTATTTTAATAGAATATCACCTTTAAGTAGTGAGGCCTAAGACTTAAGCTCTAGACACAAAGAGTAATAATTAGTATATTAATATATCTCGTTTGTATTTCCTACAAGATATTAAGTGGTTAATTTATTAGCTTAAGAAAAATACTTCATTGTATTATAATTGTCAAGGAGTGTATTTATTAGTTTAAGAAAAATAATTCATTGTATTATAATTGTCAAGGAGTGAAAATCTTTGCTAAAAGCATTGGCAAAGTTATGCTCCATAAATTCTTTTATGTATGAAATGTAAACATACATCAGATCCTAATAGGCATAGGCCTTTTAGGAAGTCATAAGTGATCAAGAACAAAAATAATTTATTTATTTACTTGTTTGTTTATTTAGAGATGGGGTCCTGCTCTGTTACACAGACTGGAGTGTAGTGGTACAATCATAGATCACTGCGGCCTTGACCTCCTAGGTTCAAGCAATCCCCCAACCTCACTGTCCTAAGAAACTAGGACTACAGGCACACACCACGATACCTGGATAATTTTTTTAAAAATTGTAGATATGAGGTCTCACTATGTTGCCTAGGCTAGCCTCAAACTCCTGGGCTCAAGTAATTCTCCTGCCTTGGCCTTCAAAGTATTGGGATGCCAGGTGTGAGCTACTGCATGTGGCCAAAAGTCATTTAATTTTATAATAGATGTATTAAGAAGATTCAAGCATGAGTTAATTATTCATCCCTGTTTCAGATGTTATACTGGTTAAAAAAAATTTTTCTCAGCACATATTTATTTCGAAGGAAAAGGAGTATAATAAAAGCTTTTAGTCCTGCAAAGAGCAATTTCAGTAAATGAATTTAATAGCATAAATTATTTTTACTATCATCTTTGGTGGTATATGGAAAAAAGTTAATAGATCCTCTCTTTTCACATCTGGAACTTATAAATCAATCTGGTTAGTAGCATACTTTCTCCATGCTTAATAATAACAGCAGCTAGGGGTTGGTATTAATCTCTTCCTAACTAGAGAAGCACATGTCACAAATTCTTTTTTTTTTTTTTTTTTTGAGACGGAGTTTCACTCTTGTTACTCAGGCTGGAGTGCAATGGCGCGATCTCGGCTCACCGCAGCCTCCGCCTCCTGGGTTCAGGCAATTCTCCTGCCTCAGCCTCCTGAGTAGCTGGGATTACAGGCACGTGCCACCATGCCCAGCTAATTTTTTGTATTTTTAGTAGAGACGGGGTTTCACCATGTTGACCAGGATGGTCTCCATCTCTTGACCTCGTGATCCACCCGCCTCAACCTCCCAAAGTGCTGGGATTACAGGCTTGAGCCACCGCGTCCGGCATTTTTTTTTTTTTTTTTTTTTTTTTTTTTGGCAGAGTTTCGCTCTTGTTACCCAGGCTGGAGTGCAATGGCGTGATCTCGGCTCACCTCCGCCTCCTGCATTCAAGCAATTCTTCTGCCTCAGCATCCTGAGTAGCTGGGATTACAGGCACGCGCCACCATGCCCAGCTAATTTTTTGTATTTTTTTTAGTAGAGACGGGGTTTCACCATATTGACCAGGATGGTCTCTATCTCTTGACCTCGTGATCCACCCGCCTCGGCCTCCCAAAGTGCTGAGATTACAGGCTTGAGCCACCGCGCCCGGCCCCACAAATTCTTATTCTGCATGAGAGCAAAGGTGTTTTATCCATTCCTCTGATTCTTCTCACCTTACTCTCTATGAAGCAATCCGTAATGACTTTACTGTTCATCCTACAAAGTACGGGTTGATAGGAGAATTCGATTTTGAGGTGGAGAGCCTGGATTTGAATCCAGCCAATAACTAACTCTGTGATCTTAGTCACGTAACTTAATCTCTGTGTGCCTTAGATTAGTCTGCGTACAGTCATTCTAGTTACCTCACAAGACAAAGGTGATGATTAAATGATGGAATACATGGGGAAAGCATCATGCAAATACCTTTTAAAAAAAACTTTTAATTATTGAAAATTTCAATTCTTAGATCAAGAGAAAATTATCTTGTGCCCTCATGTACCTATCACCCAGCCTCAACAATCATCCATTCATGGCCAATCCTGTTACATCTATATTCCACCCAGTTTCCCTTCCTTCCTCAAAAGGAATATAAAACAAATTCCAGGCATCATGTCATTTCCCTGCTTAAATATCTTAGTATGTGTTTCTAAAAGGTAAAGTCTTTTTTTAGGCATTACTATAAAACCATTATCACACTTAAAAAATTTAACAAATATCCAGTGTCTATTCCCTAATTGTCTTGTAAAAATTTTTTTGAAGGAAAATATGTATCGTTTTATTTTTAGTACAGAAAACTCAACAGTGTACATTTAACGCAGTTTAGCGGCAAGTTCTTTAGCCTTTGCCTTTTCGAGCTTGGCAATGCCAGCCACAGACTTGGGACCCAGGACATTGCCTCCCCAGTGACTACAGATCTCATCATATCTGTCGTAATTGGTCCTGACAGCTTCCACCAGCTTAGCCAAAGTGCCTTTGTCTTTTGAGTTAACCTGTGTGAAGGCGACAGTGGTGCAGGTCTTCCTGTGGACTAGACGTCCCAGTCTTGCCTTCCCCTTGATAATGCAGTAAGGGACTCCCATTTTATGACACAGGACAGGCAAGAAGATAACCAGCTCAATGGGATCCACGTCGTGTGCAATCACCACCAGCTGAGCTTTCTTCTTCTCCACCAAGGTGGTGACAGTGTTAACTCCCGCTGGAAGGACAGGTGGTCTCTTAGTGGGGACGTCCCCTTTGCCAGCAGCTTTCTTCTTGGCCCTGGGCCAACAGCCTCTGCTTCTTCTCTTGCTTTGTCTCTGGTCTGTACTTGGGGGCTGATTTCAAACTCCTGAGCTCAAGCTACTCCAGCTTAAGTAGCTGAGTAACTTGTTTGGCAGTCCAGGGCCTCAGTGAACTGGTTAATTGCAGGAGGCACTTTCAGCCGCTTATAGAGGATGGCTCTCTGCCGCTGCAACCTGATACAGCAGGACCATTTCACAAAGCAGGTGAGGTCTCTTTTGGGTTGATTGTCCTATCCAATGCCAAAATTCTTAGGCCTTTTCTCAAACAGGGGATTCACCACTTTCTTGGCTTCCTGCTTCTTCACAACAGCAAGGGCTCAAGCCACCTTCTTACCCTTGGCCTTCTTTCCTTTTGGCATCTTGGGCGGCGGGAGGAGAGACAAAATTTTTTAAATAATTATTTTATTTTCAGCCTGGGCAACACATGAGACCCAGTCTCTGCACAAAAAAAAAAAAAAAAAAAAAAAAGAAAATTTTAATTCACCACAGATGAGGCACTGTGGCTCATGCCTATAATCCCAGCACCTTGGGAAGCCAAGGCAGGAAGATCGCTTGAGCTCAGGAAATCAGCCTGAGCAATACAGCGAGACATCATCTTTACTAAAAAAATTTTTTTAAAAATTAGCCAAGGGTGGTGGCAGGCACCTGTAGTCTCACCTACTCAGGAAGCTGAGGCGGGAGAATTGTTTGAGCCCAGGAGATTGAGGCTACAGTGAGCTGTTGATCGTGCCACTGCACTCCAGCCTGGGTGACAGAGCAAGATCCTGTCTCAATAAATAAATGAATAAATAAAAATTATGTGGGCATGATGGTGTGTTCCTGTAGTCCCAGCTACTCTGGAGGCTGAGGCAGTAGGATCACTTAAGTTATGATTACACCACTGCATTCCAGCCTGGGCAAAAGAGTGAGATACTACTTCAAAAAAAAAAAAAAAAAAAAGAAAGAAAGAAAAAGAAAAGAAAAGAAAAGAAAACAATTACTTGGTTTGACTCAGGATTTAAATAAGGTCTACATGTAGCTTTTGGCTGATCTGTCTTTTTAGTCTAATCTATAACTGCACTGTCCAGCATTGTAGCCACTAGCCATGTGTAACTATTTAAATTAAAACATTAATTAAAATTAAATCAAAGTTAAAATTCCATTTCTCAGTTGCAGTAGCCATGTTTCTACTGCCAAATAGCCACGTGGATAGTACAGGTACAGAATATCTCTATCATTGCAGAAAGCACTGTATGGCAGTGCTGATCCACAAGTCTCTCCCTCCCTTCATTTTATTCCCTTCGATTTAATTGTTGGAAAAAAAAAAAACCAAGTCATTTGTCTTATAGAATTTCCCACATTCTGGATTTTACTAGTTGATTCCTGTGGTGTCATTAAACATGTTTCTCTGCCCTATACATTTTCTAGAAATGGGTGGTTAGAGTTAGGAGACTAAAAAGCTTCACCCTTTTTGTGATCTCAAGTTCAACCATGTGATCTTGAGTGTGTAACTTGGAGTATTAGTTCTCTCATATGTAAAATGGGAATAATAGTGTACCTATTTGTTGTAAAAACTAAATGATATAATTGATACAAGGGCTTAGCTTTGCACATGGATTCAGCATATATTAGTTATCATTGTAATTGTTATTAGGCAGTGATTCTCAAATCCCAGTCCAGTTATATTTTCTGGATTCATAAAAAATTAAGTTTTCCAGAGACTCTAATTCAGTAGGTTTGTGGCCCCCTAAAATATTTCCACCAGATGAGGTAGCATGAGTTGCAGCTACTCAGGAGGTTGAGGCAGGAAGATGGCTTGAACCTAGGAGTTCAAAGCCAGCTTGGGCAACACAGAGAGACTCTGCCTCTTAAAAAAAAAAAAAAAAAAGAATTCTTAGATTATTCTAATGCATTTGTGGATTTGGAAACTGATGGCTTTGTGATGTATAAACTTGACTAGGCTGAACTACAGTCCCCAGAAGTCCCTTTCTAGTATATTTCCTATTTGAGTGAATAGCAACAGATCTCTTGCAAGAGTTGGAAGATGAAAGGAAGGCAGCAGATATTTTGTATTATAGTATACACAGACTTTCTTTCAGTTATTCTATCAAATCTAATCTGAGTGCTACCACGAAGGGATTTTGCAATTGTAGTTAAAGTCCCTAATTAGTTGACTTTAAGTTGGTAAAAGGGAGATTATCCAGGGTGGCCCTGATTTAATCATCAGTTAGAAGGCCTTTAAATTAGGGCTTCCCCAGGCAAGCTGTGCTTACTAGTGAAGTTTGCCAAATATTTAAAGAAGAACCAATTCTTCACAAATTCTTCTCATCTGTAAAAGAGGAGAAAACACTTCCCAAATTATTCTGTGAAGCCTGATGCCAAAATCAAAGACAGCACAAGAAAAAAACTAAAGACTAATATCTGTTTTGAATATAGATGCCACAATTCTCAATAAAATATTAGCAAACTGGATCCAGCAGCATGTAAAAAAGGATTATACACCAAGATCAAGTAAAATTTATCCCAGGAATTCAAGGCTGGTTAACACCTGAAATCAATTGAGGTAATAAACTATATAGCAGAGTAAGGGATGAAAACCTCAGGATCATCTCAATAGATGAAGAAAAAGTCTTTGACAAATTTCAACAACTCTTTATAATAAAAGGAATCAACAAACAAGGAATAGGAGGAAACTTCCTCAACCTAATAAAAGGCATTTATGAAAAACCAACAGCTAACATCATACTTAGTGGTAAAAGATTGAATGTTTTCTTCCTAAGATGAGGAACAAGACAAAAATGTCCACTTGCCACTTCTAAGCAACATTTTACTGGAGGTTATATTCAGGGCAATTGGACAAGAACATTAAATAAAAGGCATCTAGATTGAATAGAAAAAAGTAAAAATTGGCTGGGTGCAGTGGCTCAAGCCTGTAATTCCAGCACTTTGGGAGGCTGAGGTGGGTAGATCACCTGAGTTCAGGAGTTTGATACCAGCCTGGCCAACATGGCAACAACCCATCGCTACTAAAAATACAAAAATTAACTGGGGCATGGTGGCAGGCACCTGTAATCCCAACTACTCAGGAGCCTGAGGCAGGAGAATGGCTTGAACCTGGGAGGCGAAGCTTGCTGTGAGCTGAGATGGCGCCATTGCACTCCAGCCTGGGTGACAGAATGAGACTCTGTCTTTAAATAAATAAATAAATAAATAAATAAATAAATAAATAAAAATGATCTCCTTTTTGAGATGACATGCTCTTATATGTAGAAAGCCCTAAGGAATCCACTAAAATCCTATTAGAACTAATAAAGGAGTTCAACAAGGTTTTAGGATATGAGATCAGTATACAAATTCAATTGTATTTCTGTGTTTGCAGTATAATCAAAATGAAATTAAGAAACCAATTGCATTTACAGTAACATAAAAAGAATAAAATACTTAGAAATAAAAAGTGTAAAGCCTATATTATGAAACCTACAGAACATTATTAAAAGAAATTTAAAAATACCTAAATAAAAAGATACTCATGTTCATGTATCAGAAGATTTAATATCGTTAAGATGACAATACTCCACAAATCAATCTGCACATTCAATGCAATTCCCATCAGAATTTTAGCTGCACTCCAAATGAGGTAGCCTGAGTTGCAGCTACTTGGGAAGCTGATGCAGAATTTCTTGAAACTAGGAGTACAAAGCCAGCTTGGGCAACACAAAGAGAACCTGTCTCTTAAAAAACAGAATTCTGGGCCAGTGCAGTGGCTCATACCTGTAATTCCAGTACTTTGGGAGGCTGAGGTGGCCAGATCACCTGAGGTCAGAAGTTCAAGACCAACCTGACCAACATGGAGAAACCCCATCTCTACTAAAAATATTTTAAAAATTAGCCAGGCAGGGTGGTGTGTGCCTGTAATCCCGGCTACTCAGGAGGCTGAGGCAAGATAATCGCTTGAGCCTGGGAGGTGGAGGTTGCTGTAAGCCAAGATTGAGACATTGCACTCCAGCCTGGGTAACAAGAGTGAAACTCCATCTCAAAAAAAAAAAAAAAAAAAAAAAAAGAATTCCCGACTGGGCATGGTGGTTCACTCCTGTAATCCCAGCACTTTGGAAGGCCGAGGCCAGTGGATCACCTGAGGTCAGGAGTTCAAGACCAGGCTGGCCAACATGGTAAAACCCCATCTTTACTAAAAATACAAAAATTAGCTGAGTATGGTAGTATACACCTGTAATACAAGCTACTCAGGAGACTGAGGCAGGAGAATTGCTTGAGCCTGGGAGGTGGAGGTTGCAATGAGCCAGGTTGGCACCATTATACTCCTTCCAGCTGCCTATGTTACAGAAATCAACAAGCAAGTCCTAAAACTTATGTAAAAATGCAAGGGACCCAGAATAATCAAAACAGTCTTTAAAAAGAACAGAGTTGGGGGCCGGGCGTGGTGGCTCACACCTATAATCCCAGTACTTTGGGAGGCCGAGACGGGTGGATCACGAGTAGATATTTTCCAGAAAAGATATATGAATAGCCAGTTAGCACATGAGAAGGTGTTCAACATCATTAGTCATTAGGGAAATGCAAATCAAAACCAAAATTAGATACCATTTACATCCATTAAGATGGCTAAAAATATGTGGGAAGAGATAGCATGGGGAGAAATGACAGATACAGGTGAGGGGACGGAAGGAAGCAAAGCACACTGACATGTGTGTACCTATGCAACAATCTTGCATGTTCATCACATGTACCCCAAAACCTAAAATGCAATAAAAAAAAAAGATGGCTAAAAATATTTTTTAAAATATATAATAACAAGCCAGGCACAGTGGCTTATGCCTGTAATCCCAGCACTTAGGGAGGCTAAGGTGGGCAGATCATTTGAGGTCAGAAGTTTGAGACAAGCTTAGCCAACATGGCGAAACCCCATTTCTACTAAAAATACAAAAAAAAAAAAAATAGCCAGATGTGGTGGCACGGGCCTGTAATCCCAGTTACTAGGGAGGCTGAGGCAGGAGAATCACTTGAACCCAGGAAATGGAGGTTGCAGTGAGC